AAAATGGCGAATGTGGCCATTTTTTTCTAAAAAGTCATTAAATATCAAGAATTCTGGCATTATGGGTGGATTTCGTCAAACTTGGTACATACATTAGACATTATGGGTTCCTTGTGTACGTCATTTTATTTTTCAGATCGTGGTGGTGGCCATTTTGTATTAATGAATGAATTTCTAGTGGCATATCTCTGACATGCTTTGACTGATTACGTTCAAATTTTATATATTCATTATACAAGTATTCAAAATGGCTGATTTTGTTTTAATTAATGCTGTTTCAGAGCAATATCTCTCAATACCCGTTTGATGATCAGATACAAATGTCAATCATTTAAATGTTAAACAATCATGATAATCATATTCCTGACATGTTTATATTCTAGCTATATTACTATAAACAAAACTATATATCTGAAATTCGATAACTAACGGGGACTGTGCCATGCATGGCTTGTTTTATAAGTGGTCGATAGAAAAATTCACAATCCAGAGAATTGTAAAGGTACGGTGACTGCAATGGGTGTAAATGTGGATGCATGGAGGGCCAAGATTGGCGTGTTTATCCATCCTAGATCTTGGAAGTCCGTAAGTATGTCCCAGTATTCGCCATATTCAGTGTGGTCACCACTAAATGGATTTGTATACAGATGTATATGCTGTTTCATTGTTCTTGGTTATGTAACACTAATTACCTATGCTATTACTATTGGGATTGATTATATGCATAACTGGTTAGACTCAAATGGTATGTTAACTAATTCATTGACTCCAGCATGACATTTGCTCATGCCAACTAGTGCTATATCCAGCATGAAGGTGGCGGCAAAGTATACCCTTGGCGGTGCCAATGCATGTGGAATCTTTCTGGTGTACAACGATGGTGTATTAATTTTACCAACTCATCACTACGTTAGCAGATAGCCCCAACAAGCGGGTGATGTAGAATTGAATCCAGGACCCGATGCCAGGCAATCAACATTAACCAAGTCAGGGACTCTTCAACCGACAACCGCATCTAGTAAACAACTTGAAGATGAAGCCATGATGTCAATTTTGCGGAACATTCAAAGCAATATCAAAGATGTTGGAGGGACAATTTTATACTGAATAAGTATCTGGGACTTGGTCGTTAAACTTGGTTCCCACGCTAGGTTCGAAATATTAAACTTGCGTTTCACTGAGGGTACTGCCGCAATGGACAGTTCACGGGTGGACAGAACACGATCACAGCAATAACAATAAACTCGAACACTTTATTATCACCGAATTCTTGAAGGAACTGAACACTAACACAATGTAACACAATGTCCAGTAGCACGTACAAAACTATGTAGGTTTACAATGTAAAGTTCCACGACAAAACTTACAGCAGACAGCTCACTGCTAAACAATAACACAACTAGCGAATACTACTTTTTTGAATGAAGATATTGAGAGTAAAAGCCCGCGAGGAGTCCTGATTGGTCAAACGGCGATCACTCTCACATCATGAATAAATGGAACAGTAAAACGAAATAATCGATGTACTATATAAAGATACAATAAATGATAACGATAGAAATAATATATTATGATTGCAAATATTCTCGATGTATTATCGATAGTCTCAACGACAAAAGATATGGATATGAAACTAGTAGATAAGGAGATTGATAGAATGGAATCCAAGCTGAATGGAGTAGAAGGGGCAATAGATGAAGTGAGGCAAACTACTGAGGGAAACAAAGAACGTTTGGATAAGTTAGAACACTTGGAAGACGTTATCATGGACTGAAAAATTATATAAACGTCCTAGCAACACAGAAGTCAGAACTGGAAGACCGTCAAAATAGGCATAGATGAAGATCCAAACGAATCATGGGATCAATCAGAGGATAAAGTGAAGAAATTGTAAGCCGAGAAATTGAATAACATGGGCGTTGATTTTGAAAGAATTCACAGGGTTAAAATCGGAGTCCGGGGTAGTAGACCACTTAATGCAATGTGTGCTCGATTCAAAGTTAAGCAGAAAATTCTATCAAAGAAAAAAGAACTGCATGGTTTATTGATGACCATTTCTCACAAGAAACCAGGTTTATCAGAAATAAACTAATTGCAAACAATATACGTGCTTTTGTAAACTACAAAAAGCTTGTCAGCTATGAAGATGGGAAAGTGTGTATACACTCATAGCCATGCCAGTGACTCTATTGTTTGGCAGGGTACTTATATTTCAAGATAGGGGAAAATTAATAAAGGTACGGGTAAAGTAATTAGTAAATATCTTGGAATGTACATGGATTATTGAGCAATTTACATGACGCAAGTTTTATCCAGTATTGTACGCAATTCAATATATTTTATTTGGTTGAAACTTGGCTTACACATGGGATGTTCACGAGTATTTCCCTGATTTTAAATTGATCTCATGCATCAGGGAGAATAATCGGGTGTCAAGGGGCAGGCCTAGTCGGAGTGTTACTGTTCGTATTTCTAAAGATATGATCACAGTTATCAAGGTGTTAGATACAAAAGATGAAATATGCTATATTTCTATTATTAAGGTCACACTATTTCGAATGGGGCAATGATATATTGTTTGGGGCTATATATATATAACCAGAAGGTTCTAGGGTGTACGAAAATGTGACTAAAGGAATCAGTATCTTTGAACAAGAGTTAACAAGGTTGAACACCATTTATAATTGTACAGATATTTTGCTCGTGGATGACCTTAATGCTAGGATAGCAGATGAACCCGATTTTATTGCAAATGATGGTACAAATTTCTCCCACATCTCTCATTGTGTACGCCACGTAAATCTAGGCGTAAGTTAACAATTAACTTTGGAAAGAGTTTACTTTCTTTGTGTTGTACTTTTGGCATATATGTTCTTAATGGTAGAGTGGGTGAAGACATACTAGGTAATAGTACATGTATAGCAAACTGTGGTAAAGGTACTGTGGGTTATGTAATTGCTTCGTCTGGGTTATTTGATGTAGTTTTTAATATTTGAGTGTCAAATAGAACCGAGTCAGACCATTTCCCCCCTTGAATGTACTTTGCAATGTAATTGTAATGATAGTGGTCAGGTAATACATACTCCCCAAGCTAATGAATGGGAAAAAGTATCGTTGGAAGGAGTGTATAAAGAATTTGGTAGATAAGTTGAATTCAGACGTAGTGGTGTGGCTACTAGATAAAGCACATGATTATGTAGGTGAAAATAACGTCAGGGTAATCGATTGTATTAAATGTGCATTACAACTAGCTGGGGAAGGGATGGAATGTCGCGGTGACACTAAAAATATGAACAACCAATCAACCGACCACCATGGTTCAATAAATTCTGCCACGATGCTAAACGTGAAATGTTTTACGTTGACAGAGAAATGCACACTGACGAAGCACTGTTGCAATACAAACTTTCAAAAGCATTTGTAATTTTAATAAGAAATCTCACACAGACTTGCTGTTAAGTCGAGGACAAAAATGTTGAGATAATGTGGTTGGTCGGGATGGTATGTGGTCCGTGATTGGACGGTATTGTAGGGGTATCTCTAGTAGTCCACAAGTTTCGTCTAATTGTTGGTTGGAACATTTTGCCCAGATCAATAATCCACAGGTTGTAAACAACGGGGACGTCACTAATTGATATTCATTAGCAGGATTGGTACAGCAAAATATGTTGCACTGCTAAACTAAGGTCTTATTGTAGTTTTAAAACCATGCTTGAACCAGAATGATATCTTTTTGTAGTCACAGAGGCTAAACACAGACATGCTCTAGTACGTATTCGCTGTTCCAGTCACAGATTGCGCATTGAAGAGGGGCGGTATACAGGGCTGGAAATTGATGAACAAATATGCAAGTTGTGTTTATCTGATGTAGAGGACGAGTACCATTTTGTTCTTGTGTACCCAATATTTCACTCTATGAGGAAAAAGTTAATTCCTGAGTATTTTTTGCATCTTCCCAATTCAGAAAAATATTACAGTCTAATGCGCTCAAAATCCGCAAAGATACTACGTAATCTTGGTAAATTTCTACATAAAGCATTT